CGGGACATTATTTTAACTTTATATTTTGAGCCAGCGATGTTATTTACGAAAGTATATGACATTAAATTATAATCGATGATGCTCGCTGTCGTGTATAATGCTTTGTATAATATAATATAGATATAAAGGTAAAAACACATTTAATATTACTTTCATTTCAAGTTTCAATTACACTAATTATTTATTTGTGCAGTGTTTTAACTTTTAAATTATTCGGGTAAAACTAACTCTGTACTTATTTGAATAATTTTGTAATTATTAGATGTATAACTCGTTTTCATTAGTATATATGGGTCACCACCACCAATAACCACAAATGACCATTTTTATCGTTATTATTATATTGCTTTTCACTCTTTTGGATAACAAAATAATACAATATTTATCTGATAATTTTTATGTTTACAACTCGAATTTCGAATTAATTAGTCAAAGTATTTGAAGTTTAAACGTGCAGATACGTAGACAAACTTTGTCTTTGTCGTCAGATGGCTCCATTATTATATCACTGTTGTAGTGCAGTATTCTACGACTCGCGTCTTAATGATTTACACAAAATATATTCTGGGTCGAGCGTGACTCACGTGTCGAATTTCCCCGTGGAGATCGCTATAAAAATCGAAGGATACTCTGTCACGGTTATATATATATATTAAAACACGCGTGTAATAAGACGTATACTGTCGTCTGGGTCCCCCGGTGCACGTTATTGTCGTGGTATACCGGAATACCGGATGACGTCGCCGACGACCACCATATGACGAAAAACACGTGCAAAAATGCTAAAGCTAAACATAAAATAATAATATCGTGAAACCACTGCCTCAGTATAATATGAAGCACTAGAAGAACTTGGCCAGAGTTATTATAATTTTTTTTGTCCCCTCGTTTCTTATTGTCGTTCGTCCGAAACGGTATTTCTATAAACGCTCTCCCTGCAGAAAAGTGCAGATTGATTGCGCGATCATTCACGCTGCGGCTCAAATGTCGCGAATATTGTCACCATTCCATTGTGTGACATACTTTTATTATATTATTATAATTTATTCGTAGGTTTTATTCGTAGATATTATTATGCGTATCACGCCTAATGAACATCGAACGATAGATAATACTGTACTATATGTTATTTATTATTTATATAGGTAATTATACAGAATACGCTTGTATTATGCGATACCAAAGAGACCACCCTATATTAACCCTACAGATTGGACAAAACGATATTAAAAAACTTATGATATTCAACTGGGTCTTAATATTTTGTTAGCTGATGACGCAGTAAACTATTTCTAAAATATAATATACCTATAGCCTATTTAATGGATAATTAAAAATTAAAAAAGTCTGTTGTTACACTTAACAAACCATATAAAGATGAATAATCAAAGAAATAATACATACTTCAATATTTTTAAAATTATATTAAGAACACAAAGTTTTCTTAATATTATTTTCATTTTTCTTCTTTTTTTCGTTTTCTTTTTTTCTTTGGTATTTTTTCCGGGTTTTGTACACTATAATATTATATACGTTGTAATCGCCATTCGATCAAATGGCCACGTATATTTTATTGATGACACTCTATCTGATATATAAAAAAAATGAAAGAAGAATGATTTCATTAGAATTTGGGGAAATACATATTAATATCAATTACTATGTTATTTTATGTACAGTCAGTAGATACCTGGTATAATTATATGTATATTGTATATATTCTTCTCAATATTATGGACTAATCTAGTGACGAAATATTGCGCAGTGGAAAATACTAATATATAATATACATTATTATAATTATATGACACACTCTGACTTATAGGACACATTTTCTCGGAAACCATAAACGTTTTACAAAACATTATTTTTAATAAAACTTTTATTTTGCTAACGTGTATCTAAGTATATGTGAGTCAGGGGTATCCCGCAACATGTAGGTCCACTACTCCATTCATCATAGTATCATAACTAATATATAAATACTTATTACATATAAGTTATAAATATCTAACTAACTACCTACTTCTAGTAAAAAAATATATTTTTTAAACAACGGAAGTTAATTAAGTTGAATTCGTAATTTTACTCGTGGTTTGCCGAGGTACTATTTTTATTTTTTTTAAAAGTCTATAATATTATAGGTATAATTATTTAATCTATAAATCCAATTATTCTTTTTAATTGTATCGTATATAATATGGATAATGTTTAATTCGTTTTATACATTTGCATATTATTATTGCTTTGAGTTTTGACCGTGTCGATTACTTTTTTCCGGTAGGAATATTATTATTGTCCATCCCTTTCCGTCCTCTTGTCCATGATACAGTAGAAAATAATAGGTACCACAGTACCTATAATATTATCATCTATAGCTGCAGCTATGTTTATCAATACACCTGAGTATAATAATTATATAGCATAGTTTAATAGACGTATACCTATAGAACGATTATCATCTTTATTACTACCATTGATTAAATATACATTGTATATTTAATCAATGTTACTACTATTATTATTACGATGAGTTGTGTTTGTTCTTATAATATAAGAAAAATAATAATATGTGTCTTGTATCACTGTAGTTGTCCTCTTGTATATAAACGATAATTTATAGTCTCTTCAACGTCTGTATATAAATATGTCAACAATATATTAATGTATAATATAATGTCCTATCGAGAATAGTAATTTTACGTCATGCACGCATAAAGATGACTCTAAAATACCATAAATCATATAATATCATGATATCGTTGCAGTATTGTTAACAACGATTCGTGTCGATAAGTCCCTCTTCTAGTGTTGATGACCACAGCACGTTATTATCGTCGTTTTTTCGTTTTCAAAATATTTCGAATAAACATCCAACAAAAAACCAAATAAACCATAAATTATACTTAATCAATTTGTACACACTGTTCATTTAAATTATTGACAATAATATAATATATTAATTACTTACGTTATTTATTAAATCAACGTGTTATTTATACGGAGTGATCCTTATTTAACGTAAAACACTCAATGTTTCAAATAACACTAGCGTTATAAAAATATTTCTTTTAAATAATTTTAAGTCGTTACAAAATAACATTTTGCGAGGTACCCTAGCTTGTACCACTCCACTCGGCCTATTAAATTCGTATAAACCATTAGATATTAGGTATTGTCCAAAATTCTTTTTTTATGAATGAAGTACTCCAAAAACTATTCTGCTTAGGAACAAAGAGTTAAAAATGCATGTTATCATATAACAAATTAAAAAATGAAACGACAAAAATAGTAGCAAATATAATTTTTTAGACAAAAAGTTAATAGTTTTTGAAATATATAGTGTCTTATACCAAATGGATCACTCGGTATATTATACAATATTCACAATTGATAATAGCTACCTATATCAATACATTTTACTTTTTTGTTGTATAAATGTAATTTTATCAAAATGTGTTAAGTTTCTAGTTTCAATCGACCTAAACGTGTTACTTATAACAACGTTATCATTAATAAATCATTTTCAGATAAAATTCGGCAAAAATAAATTATAACCCCTCCCGAAAAAAATTCTGGATACGCTACTGTACGTCGTATAATAGGTATAAGTTTCCTAAACGTAGCCTACACATTTCTTTGATTTGATGATTCCGTGCTGTATATTGACGTTAAGTGCACACTGCACAGTTCGAATTGGACTTGCATGTTTGGTATATTTATTAGAATGTAATAATATCATTGAATCACTATAGCAATATAAATGATATTATATTATACTATTATATATGTACAAGACCTTGACCAACATTCTAACCACTGTGACACGGTAGAATTAAAACAAAAAAACTAGTTCAACTCCCAATTATTTTCTACTCCCTTTATTTGTACATTTATCCTGCGAGTTGAAACATTTTGTAAAAGAAAATTTATATTTTAACTCAAATTCAAATACTCCTTTACCCGAACATTTGGCCAGTACTGCAGTGTACATGTCATCCACCAACGTGCTGATATGCGACCATATATCTATAAGAAAAAAATGATTTATTTATTTTTACAAACTGTATATTAGATAAACATCATATTATTATAAATTTGTGTGGTCCTGGCTTATGAACCAAACAATTTGATTAGTACAGTAGATATTCTTACATAATGTATAAATAAATTATTAACTTGTTTTCAACATTCGTCAATAGATATTTGTAAACATTTGTATTGAATTTTCAAATGAAAAAAAATTAGTTTTTTTTATTTAATTTTTTTTTTTAAAGAATTAAATCATTTTAATGATGATCATCGTTGACACACACCTAAACTGTTTTTGAAAACAAACTTATTTGCGTCCCAGATAATGAATTTTTTATTACATTTTTATGAGATATTCACGTAATCGCGTCACAGGCGCAAGTTCGACCTACTAATAATAATTCACGGTGCTGAGTTAAGTCGATAAACAGGTTACTGGATTATTTTAGTGTGTCCGTACCTAAATACCGATGATAACATGCCATACATTATTATGAATATTTTAATAATATCTCTCAAGTTATATGTGAGTGGGATCTCCGATAATAATCCATAATATTAAACCATTTTATTTTTTTTAGTAATATTTTATCGGGTTATTATTTGTTTTGAATGTGGAGTGTAAGTGTAACCACATGACTAGGTACATCAATAGGAACTCCGTTTGCGTTTACCCACGATAATAATTTTTGAACGCAATCGTATGTTCCCCTTATATTTTTACATTTAGTTAATATTTTACTCCTTTTTTAGTATAATTTCCCTAATATTCGTACATTTTTTGTTTAAATGATATAATTAATTTTAGTTTTATATTGTGCCATTTATAGGATAAGCATAACTAATATATTATAAATTAATAGGTACATTGTATAATATAATATTAAATTTGATTTGATCGTTCTGTATACGTAAATAGTAATATATTTATATTGGATTATTAATTATGATATTTTTTTTTTTCACAGCAAGGGTATTTGATGAAGTTCGGTTACTTGCCAGAATCGGATCTAGAAACGGGCAATAACTTGAGGGACGGAAGTCAACTACACGATGCTCTGCGAACATTGCAGGTATGTCATTCGCAGTATATACCTATGCATAATTACATAAATATAAATATTCAATATATTCAATTTATTACATAAATCATATTAAACACTAAAACACACATTATACATTATTCCCCAAGCCTGTTTAGACTAAATTCAAGAATATGAAAATATGGTCTTTAGCGGTAGTGTGGTGTCACCCATATAGAGTGACACTCTGTAACACTAACTGCAGGCCTTACCCTCCCTCGTATACGCTCTAAGTCATAATGACTCTCTCTAGAATAAATTCGGATTAGTCCTGTTAACTTGTTGAGGCACAAAGGTATGCGTTTGTTGATTCTACGTCCGTTTTTCAAAATTGGAATGACTATTATAGGACCCCACAACCGGAGCGCTATTCGGTTTAAATAAACTTCATTGACTATATGTATGTGTGTCTGAGCAGTGAGCACTGTTGCAATCTAAGAGGTAAGAACGAAGAGGACTTGAAATAATATACAACTCGGGGTTTCAGGTCGGAAACACTTTTATTAACATGTAACATATATAAAACACTAATTACTAATTAGGAAAACTTGGCCAGTACTACGGTCATCGCTTCACACGCACGATCGTCATACCTAAAGTCATACCTTAAGAATCAGCGAAAACGGGCTTGCTCATACGGCGATGTTTTAAATCAAAATATCGCCTCAGCACATCTTGCTTTGCTGGCCTGACCTATGTCAATAATTCCCACCTATATTTCATATTATAATATTATATTGACGACTGTCCGTTCAATATACGACAGTAGCAGGTATATTTAAAAATTCCAAAAAATCAGATAATATTGAAGAAATATGAGAGAGAGCGAGTTTGCTTTGTGAATCCTCTTGTATAATATATATTTCAAAAACTTATAACATATATAGGTATCATTAACATAATATATTATTATATTAGGTGCCTATACGCTACCTATATGTTTTTGAAAAAAAACCCACTAAACCTATATTGCTTTATGTTGACGTCATAATTTATAGATGTTATATTCCAATAAAATCCTTTTATCCTTATTTTATCATTTATTCATGCATTATGCATACGTATATTTTGTATATTTTTCCTCTCATAGTCTTAAAAAACTTCTGCAGTTGCGAAACCGTTAATAATATTATATTTTACCACTAATGACAATAATAATATAGGTACACTCGTCTATATTTTCATGAAAGATTTCCAATATTTTATTTAGACGTTTGGAAATATTCCTATCACCGGTAAATTGGACGAGGCCACTAAACAGTTGATGAAGAGACCTAGATGTGGCGTTTCCGATATTTCACAGACAGCGGGCCAGCACCGGACCAAACGCTACACCCTGCAAGGTCAAAAATGGCATCACGTCAACCTGACGTGGAGGTGAGTGAAATAAAATATTATCTGAATCCGTTGCCAAGTTAACTCAAGTTACCTGTAATACACGAACTATATATATTTTATATCATATTAAAATTTGGGTGGTTTGAAAGCCTATAAAAACTTATGAGCTTATGACACTATATTATATTTCAACAAGAAAATCTAACCTTGAAATATTTTCCACGGAATAAATATATTTATCACAATACCTATACCTGAAGACTTACTTATATAAATCATCTTTTTAACGATCAACGTCTTTTATACCGCAAGACGACGATAACGACTACCTTGACGTGACGATTTATGTCGAGTGATTTTATATTAATTCCTCCACGTCTATAATACCTATTGGCTATTATGCATATCAATTAAAAAATGAACAACGAAACGCAATGGATAGATATTCAGATTTATACTCACCACAAACTCGTTGAGTGAGCTGCGTCCCGGGGATCTACATGCTCGTCGTCGACTGCAAAAGCAATGAGCTCGTGGATTATTGTCGCTGGTGTAATAATATTATTATTAATTATTATAATATCGATTATTATATTATTATTATTATTATATTTACAACGCGACGTGAATCTTATTTTTCGCTCGTGTCTATACGTAACTTACGAGTATGTCGTCAACTGCAATTTCAGTCTACCGAGATCAAAAATTAAATAAATAGCATATTGTATTTAAAACAATAAAATATAATGTTAATATTACCACCAATATTCAGTCGGGCAAGATTCATTTCGATCTAAATCGTACCCTTTTAAAATAAGCATTTTAAATACTTTTGAAAAAAGTAACGATGCAAATTATTACACAATGTTCGCAACTTGTTAAGCTGTTAACGGGATGTGAAAGAACATAATAATGATTTTAATACTCAAAACTGACTTACGGTAATCCACTATATTTTTTAAATGCTTTAGTTATTGGTTTTTATTAATCTTTCATATATTTACTATATAATTTTTAATAATTAAAATACAAAATAACATAAATATTATACTTATAGCTACTTAATGTCCATATATTTTCAAATACTATTTAGATATCTTAGAGAATTGTACACAAATAATTGTTTTTCTATTTAATCTATTTTTTATAATTAGAAGTTTGTTTTAAAAATGAAAATATGAAAATTAAAAAGAAAAGCGATGAAACAAAAAATGGGGGCGTCATTCATTTGGGCGATTGACCTAAATTTTACCTAAGTAGAACATATATCATCTGGGCGAGATATTAAGTGATTATTTGGGAAAATGTATATTTACATTTGTTGTATCTATGAACTTATATATAACATGTCTCGAGGTTAGTAATTAAGTACTAAGTACCTATACGATATATATAATAGTAATATATTATGATATTATAATGTGTAAGTATATACTCGTATTATACAGAATTAACAACTTTTATAATATTGATTAGGTGCGCACTATAAATCGTTTCGGCCGATTGGCGATAATCATTTTAAAGTGCTCAAAACCAAGTCTCTAAAAATGGAAAGGAAAATGTATTGGACTTATTATTAGGTGTCTATATACATTTTTCTTAAATTATGTATAGGATGTAACAGAAAGAACTAACTAATGCAATAACTTTCGTTATAATAAATATTTTCAAATAGTTTTCATTTTTATTTATTGAAACTGAAACTGAAAATGAAAATTAAAAATGTTCCAAAATAGCCAACTTGTTAATCCGATTATAAAAAAAATTTTCATGGTTAAAACATTTATCCAAGTTAAGTAGTTAAATTTTTAGAATTTTTTAAATATCAATATTTTTTAGAGTAAATTTATTTAAAACGTAATAGCTTTATTTAATATATTATTTTTGAGAATTTCCTGACATAAGTATATTTCTTAAATTATTTATTATCCATATAATTTTCACAGATTTTTTTCATACATTTAACTAGAATCAATTATTTTTTCGTTAGATCTTTCTGTTACACCTTGTACCTATATATAATCACCCAAACGAAGTATTATATAAATTAGGGGCCCGTGTAAATTTCACCCAAATGATATGTATCAATTCGCCCAAACGAAATGAAATTTCGAGTTATTCGCCCAAATGAAAGCCGCCCAAAAAAGGTTTATTCACCGTAATAAAATTAACAAAATATTCTTTACACGGCGACAACAAATAACACACGCATTTTGCATTTATATATTATAGGTAGCTTATAAGCACAACAATAATTATGGTAATTCAATATAGTAATCATATGCTTTGTTTTCGATTATTATTTTTTATTTCATCAATTTTCCGTTTGATTAATATTTGAATATTTCCTTATACATTATAATGATGTATAGGTAGGTACCTACATTTTTATTAAGGCCATCAAAATAATACGCTAATTAAAATTATTAATTGATATTATGAATTCCAGCAACACGTATTTGAACACCAACAATATAATAAATTGTTATATTATTGTAATATTATATTGGCAATACGCGTTGTCTGATTTTATAATAACAAACAAAAATAATAATCTGTACCTATGTTGTTTGTTTGTTCTCAGTTTGCGGACGAGGCGTTTGGATAAAGTAGACCACGGATGGGTGAGGTCGGACTTGAACAAAGCGTTTCAAGTGTGGGCCCAATATTCCAAACTCACGTTTCGGGAAGTTAACAGCGAATCTGCAGACATTCTGGTGTTTTTTGAAAAGTTAGTGTTGGGATTTGCGCCTTTGCCTATGCGTATTGTCTTAATGCCTACACATTATGTAGCCCCTAGCGCGTGATGTATATAGACACGTCGCGACGTATGTTTACATTCTGGGATAAAGATGAATGATATCTCAAAAATCTAAAAATTAAAAAAAATTTCAAATCCAAATAAAGCAGAATCGGTGTTTTAAAATAATTTAAATTTCAAATAAAAATGGATTTTTTTTTAGAAAACTATATTATTATATATCATCACACGTTATTTTCGTCGTAAATCTCAAAAATATATTTCATTATATTATACTTTTTATCTATTATTATAGGATGTACTAAGGTGATGGCTCGTCGCTTTTATTATAAACGATAAACCTCATATCGGGGGCATCGGGCTGATCGTAATAACTGCAAATCGTATAAAACTATGTAGGCAATGAAAATGAAATGTATTATTCTAATCATTGCATATATCATAAATATATTCAATCCTGGATTTATAATTTTTGGATTTTTGACATACTTGTTCTGTTATTCGTATAGTTTAGATATGGTGCGCGAGGCTCATTATAATATAATATAACCTAATGCATGTGCTTCTATTTAACTTAGAGGTTACCACGGCGACGGATATCCGTTCGATGGGCCGGGTCAAGTGTTGGCTCACGCATTTTTCCCGGGCACCGGACGAGGAGGAGACGCTCATTTTGACGAGGAAGAAGAATGGCTGGTGGCCGACAAGACAAGCAAAGACGGTGAGTACAAATATACGACAGTACGAGTACACATGTGTACAGTGGTTGTACTGCGTAGGTACATTACTTATACAGTTATACTGTACGTCAGTGGTCAGTACCTATAGGTAAAACTATAAGATAAGTACATTATACGTACCATTGGTGGTCAAACGGATAGGGAAGGGGTGAAGAGATATATCCCCTATATTAACTATTTTATAACAAAATAATTTTTTCCTGGTCAGTGAAATAAAAACCACGGACTAATATAGATCTTAAATAAATTATGTTTTTAAAAATAAAAATCTGCCTCTCTCCTCATCATATGACAAAATCATGTTATGTAGGTACCCTCATTTTGATTTATATTATAATTATCAATGGCATAAATCGTAAGGGATTAGGTCCACTCAAATCTGGGTACAGTCCTCGTCGAGTATAGATAGCCTAGATAGGTAGGTACTATTATATTTATCTGCAGTTTTTTCGAAAACAACCCCGACAATAATATTGTTTGAGAATAAAAATGTATTTGAAATTGTATTTCTGTGATACCTTTATTATTTCTAATAAGTGATATAACATTATAAAAACACAGATTATGATAAATGTTGTAGTTATCGACAGTGTATCCCAATTTTTCCCAATATTTACAGCTGGGCGTTGGTAACAACTTTAAACATGGAACAGTTACAACTTGCAACTTGCAACGCAGTTCATCTTATACGCGTGAAACTGTGAAAGTTCCTTTAGTGCCATGTGGTGGGTATAAAAACTCTGTTGTGTTGAACAATGGGCCATTTATCTATTCAGCTGCACACATATTGACTAATGACTAGGTATTGAGAGAGACATATGCAATAATTAAGACTCTTAAGGGGTAATAACTAATAATACTAAAAGTTTGTTTCAAAAAAAGAATCTTGTATTTTACTTGAATCAAATATAAATATATATAAAATAAGATACAATAATTTGTATTCGATGTATTTTGATAGTGGCCGTGTAATTATTTTGTTCTAAGTTCTAACATTATGAGGACAAATTATTTACGCAACTGCTACGTATACCGGAATTCTTTATTTTTGTATCTTTAATATTTTACTTAGTTAACATCATTATTTATTTAAAAAATTTTTTTTTTTGCGCCTCTTTAGGAACCAGTTTGTTCAGGGTGGCCGTGCACGAATTCGGTCACTCACTCGGTCTTTCGCACTCATCGGCACAAGACGCATTGATGTTCCCATGGTATCAGGATCTGAAATCCAACTTTGAACTTCCCAACGATGACCGGATCGGTATACAGATCCTTTACGGTAAGTGTATACGGTAATAAATTCCTTTACGAACTTCGGGTGTGTTCTTGAGCCCACGAAAATCAATTTTCGTTATAATATATAGATTAATAGTTTTTTTCAAGCCATAAGATTTTTTTACACATCGCTATCCAAAACCAAACACGACATATAATATTTATCCCGCCGGACTCTGATACAAACGGTGCGTCGGAAATACCATTAAAGTATTTAGTTCCAATTATTATTTTATTATATCAACCTTTCCAACTTTCCAAACCTATAGTGTTTACTTTATAGTTGGTACCTATATAGTACCTTATCATAAAATAGTTCATAAACTGCTTATAAGTTATAACTATAATAACTATAATCTATATAGTACGACCTATCCACCAAATATAATATATTTGGTGATTTCAATGCATTTATATATTATATAAATGCATTGAAGACAAAAATCCACCCCCATTAGCACCCCCAAGCCCCCCATAATTTGCGCCTATGTGCGTTCAAGAAAGGCTATATATTATATACGCATACGCATATATAACGTATACTCCGTTGTTTATAGATAATAAGTGCCTACTTTAAATTTACTACAGTTGACTAGGTAATGACAATATAGTATTTTGCAATATCTTGAGGAAAATATCGACTACGATTTTAATTCCGTGGCATCGATTAATTTTTCGTTTCTATTAAATAGGTGCAAAAGATGACAAGATCTGGGGTGACATACCGGCGTACAGACCGACTTCGCAGAGACCGGATCCATCGACTACCGTTCCGACGATATCTAGTACAGCTAGAACAGTAATTACCAAGTCCATGACCAGTATCACCAATCCCGTTACCCCAGTGACATACACTACCAGCAGACCAATGCCACCGAGACGACCGCCCGTAGCAGTGGTCGTCGACGACAAACCGGACTTTTGCAACACATCATTCGATGCAGTGTCAATCATACGAAAGGATACGTTCTTCTTCAAGGGCAAATACACGTGGAGACTGGGCCCAAAGGGAGTTTACGCCGGATATCCGGCTCTAATTTCACGGCTGTGGTACAATCTGCCAGAAGACATGAACCAGGTGGACGCGGTGTACGAAAGGCAAGACGGAAAGATTGTGTTTTTCATAGGTCAGTTAATTATCATACCCATTTTATTTTTAGTTATTAAATATTAGTTATTACTAGAGATATGATGATGATCTAAATAACACGAAAATTCCCTAAACAAAATGCAAATGCCCTAAAAACTTCAATAAATGAATGCAACAAATTACAAAAAAAATGTATTAACATGAATGATAACAATTTAATAGAAAAAAAATTATTATTATTACCTATAGATATGGGTGTGTTAATTATAGGTGTCAGAATAATTTAAACTATATGAATTGTAAAATGAATAAACAACTATAGCAAACATTTACATTTTAAGCTATTAATTGAGAGTAAATAAAAAATATATTATGAATATATTAAATTATTAAAAATAAATTTTGCCGCGCAGGTCGTCAATATTACCTGTTCGACGGCAACAACCCTCTGCGAGGATACCCGAAGCCGTTGACGACGCTCGGACTGCCCGAAGAGCTGGACCGTGTGGACGCGGCCATCGTCTGGGGTCACAACAGCAAAACGTACATATTCAGCGGCACCATGTACTGGAGATGTGACGATGAAACTGGTCAGATGGAGTTGGACTATCCGCGGGACATATCGTCTGTATGGCGTGGCGCGGGATACAACATCGACGCGGCGTTCCAATGGCACGACGGTGAGTGAAACCTATAATTCGTAAATTATACGCTTTGCAACATATTAGTTATATTTTGTACCTTCTGCCGCGGGAAACGTTGTTGGGCAAATGAAACTCTATAACCGTTTAGTAATTAAAGTTCAAACGCATAACTTCTGAATTGAATAGTATATTGTTGATGGCAAGGGCGGGCGGAGTGAGCCACCAATACTCGCGATTAGCAAGCAACGTTATTGTGGCACGAGTCGTATTAGGCAAGGCTTGTTGTAATCAGTCCAACACTAAAATACTAAATAATTGCATTCCCACACGAACCAAACATACTTTTTTTTTGTCACGCCTGCGCTGAAAGTTTAATTTTCGGTTTCGGTTGAAATGTTAGAAAATGACCTCATTCCTTCCTTCCAGCAGACAGTAAATCTTTTGTTTCCGACGGGTGGCGGTGAAGTGGAAATAGGTACCCACTACGCAGCGATAGTTTAATGATACTAGTGTAGTCTAGTAGGAAAAAATATATAACGTTATAACAGGTAACAAAATAGTCGTACATCTACTTCGATTCAAGTTAATTTATATTTCTTTATTTGTACGACTGAGAAATATCGACAACACAATAATGTGCGTGTTTATCACACAGGTGCAACGTACTTCTTCAAGAATCGAGATTTCTGGAAGTTCAACGATCTCAGGATGCGCGTCGAACAGGAGGAGCCCAGGTCGATTGGCGAGTTCTGGTTCAACTGCACTGCGGTCGGCGGGGCAAACGGCGACCGGTGGCCCGTCACCAAGAACAAGGGCCGGACGACTGGTCAGAAGGGCTCTGCGGGCCGCGGTGGCCGATTTCGGACCGCAGACGACGGCCCGTCTGGCAGCGGCGAGGTCAGCTCTTCGGGGTCAGTCTCCATCGATCATACGCCTTCTCCGATCGTCGAGTGGTCGGTTACGATGGCGTCGATCGCGGCAATCGTTCGGTGGGCACGATGAACGTCGCCACGAAAAACCACACGTGTTCGTCATATGTATATATAATATGATAATATTGTAATATTTATTGTGATGTGGCGTCCGCCAAAGTCCTATGGTCGTCGAGTGTGACGCTTTAGAGACAGCGAAAATCGCTGTCGTATCGAGTTATTCAATCAAATAATAATATAATGTAACTGATGTATTATACAATGTGATGCGATACTATACCGCAGTGTCGATTCGGGCCTGTCGGATATACGATCCGAGTGAAAAATAAACGAACAATCCGATTTAATTCGACTGGCAAACCTGCAGTTTCAAATTTTAGATGCAAGTCTCGTGTTTCCATAAACAAATTGAGTGATTTAATATAATATATACATCGATAGTTCGATACCCATCATAACAATATTCGTAATCCCGCTGTTACGATTTTATTATATTTTAAAGTTTTTCAACCACAAATGTTTATAAATATTAATACATTTTTAAGATTTAAATAATCATACAACACTATTTGAAGCATTATTCTCATACAGCGTATCTCCGAGTATTGTGCAATTTTTTTCTATGCTCACTCCAAAAAATTCAAGCATTCTTGCCATTCGTCTCCGTCGCACTTGTTTCGAATGCACGTCGGTATATAATGTATTATATGTACAGCGTAATTTACCAAGCAAGCTCACCCCATTTTTCATTTAATATTTAATAATGCAATCATTTAAATTCTGACTTTTAAATATATGTACTTAAATACCATATTTCTAAATTCTTGAAACTATTTGTATTATAATTAAGGAGTGTACAAACTATAGCGATGAAAACAAATTCCAATTGTTTTTCTGCAATTTACTGTAAACTTTAGGGGATCATTTTTTTTTTAATGTTTATGTAAGTAAGTACCTAATTCAAAATTCGAACGAATAGTTTTTCAGTCATTAAAATGTTTCTAGTAAGTATAATAAATTATTATTAATAATCCTTAAAAATATAAAACAGATTAATAATACTTGGACATTTTTTACAAACCATAAATGTTGATAGTCTATAGATTAAAGTATTTACTATAAAATGTTTAATTCCATTATATTATTGTATATAATATATTATATATTTCCATATATTGCAAGCCCATTATTGTAGACGCAATTGGTCATTCTTCCTCCTTATAGACTATAGTAACTACACAAAGTTAAATAACTCAAAAACGACTCGTTCGAATTTTGATTTATCAACATTTTCAGAAAAATTATCCATTAAATAATTTACCACACCCTTTCTATATCAGAACCCCCCTTTCTCATTGAAATATCTACGTTTGTATCTTCAAATCTCCTTATGTGGGCAATACAAAAATTCTCGAGCATTTAAAAATATGGTTTTTAAGTTGATGTATTTAAAAATTCCAAATTTTTTTTTTGAATAATTGTATATTATTCGTTTAGCAGCTTAATGAATCATCCTGTGCATCCAAGTATAGTGATGATATACAGAACAATATAACGGTGCAAACCACCTGTTTACAGGAAGTGTTATTTTCGGTATTTTATAAAGACAGGTTTTTAGACCTTTGAAACAACCACTGACTCCACCATCCATCCGGGATACAGTAGAGTTGCGGCTACATTTTATCGTCATCAATCCGACGTTGTTTATAATGTCTGACAAATTTTGTGATATTTTTTTTCTATCAACTCTATTATATTTTATACCTATTTATATAAATATATTTACTATACATATAGGTAATCGATTTAAGGATATTATATTATTGCGTTTTTATATATTACCTAAACTATTTATGTATATACTATATATTTATTATTTTGTACGTATAATAGTACAATATTATATATTATTATGAGCTGAGTTATATACCTATATATATTTACGACATAATATATTTCTGTACTTATAGTTTTATTTTGTATCGAAATCGCCAATGTTTTTTCTACTTACGGTTTTGTAATTTTTAAAAATAAAATAATATAATTGTACTTAAAAATTAAAACGTTTTTCTTAATCTTTGTTGGCCCAGTGGCGTGTAACATAGGGCCCAAGTGTTGCTCAGGTAACAACTTATACATGGGTGGGTGGGTATTGATGGAAGGAAAATAATTCAAAATATTACATTTTATATCTGTAGGTATAACAATATTTTGAGGTTTCCAAAAATTATTTGAGCAACACCAATTTTTTTTTATGCATCCATGGATGCCATATTGACTGCATATTGGTTTTAAAATATAGTAGGTCTAGAGTCTAGACCAAGAAACATTGGTCGGAAAGATATTATGTTTCTGAAATTGTCGTCGACAAATATTTATGTTACCGCCTATATGACGGGAAATCAGATTTTGATAAATATAAATGATTACATTAAGCGGCGACCACTATAAAATAACAGTCGTCATGCAGTGCACTGCAGTCTGCAAGTAACCGTCGTCGTGTGGCGCCACCGCCGATGACCGAAAATAGTGATTTGGCAACTATTACCACCGAATACCCAAAGTACACTTTCACGTATCTACCCCTAACCCCATCGCATCGCCTTGTATATCGATGCCTTCGACCTAGGGGAAGGCGGATGTCGGGTTCTGCGGTCGATATATATTCCCATCGAGTGCAATCGCTGCGGCATAGCACCCCACGCCCAGCCAATTTGACCCTCCTAAAGCGGTGGCCGCGTATCGCATAATTTGACACAGTGGAGTTACTACGTGTGGCGATGGGGTTGCTCAAGTCTATACGACTATACTCGCTGCGAAATAACATCATGACTGGTCGCGCAGTCAAAGCAACTTCCTCCACGTGCCGCTTGTGCAACACTTCCAGGGGATTCTGGGAACCAATCAAAAACCGGCTGTGCGAAACGGACTCAAAACGGTCCGTCGCGCAGTCATGATCTTATTCCGCGGCGGGTATAGAACATCAGACGTGTTCCTCGCGTCTTCTGACTTCTGAGCCCTCGGTATAACGTCGTCCACTATATGACTGTAACGCGCAGTTTGAGAGGTCAAAACAAGCTTCTTCCTTTTAAAAAATAAGTAACATAATCGACTGTTTTCAATCCCTTTCCTATTTAGAAAAAAACATTTTTTTAATTTTTTTTTTAGGAACCTGTTACTCGACGGTGCCATAATAGCTATCAAGCTTAGTTTTTAAGTCACTCGGAAATCCTCGCCATTTAAATAAATAGTATAGCGCAGGTTGAGAAGTCAAAACAAGCTTCTTCCTTTTAAAAATCTAAGTAACATAACCGTCTTTTTAAAAACTGTTTTCAATCCCTTTTCTATTTAGAACAAACATTTTTTAAATTTTTTTTTTGAAAAATTCTTCCTTGACGGTGACCTAAGCTATCTAGCTTAGTTTTGAAGTTCACTCGGAAATCTTTCAGTCATAAAATTCTCTAAAAGTAAATTTTGTTATAATAAATCCTCAACAGGTATATCACCAATACTTAAGTTCGAAAAAAAAATAGGTAAACGTATGCAAAATCTTCAATTAAAATTCTTAGTCTTAGGTATGAATAGAAAAAAATTTATGAATTTCTAACTAAATAATAATTTACAAGATTTAAAAAAATTCTCACGGCTATGAATAGTTGAAAAAGTAACAAAATTGTTTAAAATATTAACATGTATGGATAATGGTCGTTTTAATAATTGATACAAATTTCAAGTATCGAGGTTCATTTGTTTTAAAGTTACAACAAAATATCAAAAATTGTTTGATGAAACTTCTTTAATTTACCTATGAATGTACAACATCGTAAAAATTTAAATTCAAACACTCACAATAAATTAATGTTGCATTTCACTATTTCAGTAACCTTTTTTTATTGATTAATGTAGGTAAATTTGTGAGGAGTTTTCTTTCAACATTTATAATGTTAGCTTTGAAAAGCAAACCGTTTATGAATTTATAAATAAAAAAATGTCGATATTTTGTTGAATTTTGTCAAAATTTAAACTTCAATTGCATATAAAAAAAAATCGTGCATATGTATTTCTGATTTTTTTGAACTCAGTTTTATGAAACTTTTTAAGAATCTTGTATTAAATTTTCATGCTTTTTTACTAAGTGAAAAAGTTTTTATCGAGAATAGTAATTAATAGAGAATTACAAATGTCTAATAAACATTTCTCAAAGCTAGAATTATCGCAAAGAGTCAAAATATTATGAAAATGTAACAATTTATGTTAAGTGATAATATAAATATTTGGTGAAAATTTCAAGGGTCTACGGTAATTAATTTTTGAGTTACACCAAAAAAATAAAATTGATTTCCTTAAAAATCAGTTTTGCCTAAAAATTATCATTTTTCTTCCACTTTTGTTTTGTTTTTCTCTACACTTTCTATAACTATTTGGAATTTTCAATTTTTACCTCCCAAAAGTACCAACTAGGTTCACTTTTCTATCAGAAAAGATGCTGATCTCAAAAATCAAAGCATGCTTACTAACCAAAATGTTGATGACAGAAAAAAAAACACATCATTGTAAAACCAATACATTCGCTCAACTCAGAATGTAAAATAAAGATTTGTTTTAAAAAAATAATTATTAGATAAATTATACTTGGATATCGCTCAAAAACTAACAAAAATATGTGACCGACTGATTGAATATTGGCAATTTGTATTTTCTAATTAATGATGTTTGTAGGTGGATGGGTCCTCACAATTTTCCTCAGCAATACGTCATATTTATTTGTGGATAGCCTTCACTGAATAAATTATGACAATATATCGTCTTCAATATTTGAACTAGTAATGTTATTTTTTTTTAATTCCATTAAGAAAACTTAAGAGGAACTATGTTAACAAAAAGAGTTAAGAAAATTCTAATATTAATATTTAGTTAACATTTCGACTTATTTTTGAATAACAACAATAAAAGAAAATAATTGATTTTGACAAAAACTGCTTATGGGTAAATATTTCAATTTTTCAGTAGTTTTAAGGTTCTTTAAGTTTTATTATTTAAAAATACATTAATGTGAGCATTAACCTTAATATTATTCATTATTTTTATTTGTGAATACTCAGTTTATTCAAATTCAACAAATCTACTATTTTAACACTAGGCAGCCCCCTTAACTACTTCAGAACTAGTTAAATGATATAAGTTTGTTGGTTTTTAATTTAACAGACAAACTTTAAAGATTAATGTCTAAATAAAGAATCCAAATATTTAGTATTAAACCTAAATGACATTACTAATTAATAATCAATCGAAAGTTGTACAAACTTTCTTTTATTTTTTTGGATTAACCGCTCATCAATTTTTTTTACTCAAGATGGGTTAGGTTAGGTTAGGTGGGTGCCTGTAACTTTGACCAACTATTTTATTTAATTTATGATACATGGATGTATATTAATTAAACTTTTATTTATGGACATTTATTTTTCATATAATGACACATTTACACTGGTTTCGTTTTTATTTGTATCAAAACTCATAAGTCATATCAATTGATTAAAATATTTTATATTTAATAAAATATATTCATTCACACAAAAAAAAAAACTTTTCACGGTCCAATTATAATTCAGATACATTCACTATGTTAAATGTAAATTATAATTTAGAAAATCTTTGTAAAAAAATACTAAAAATTATGTTGATAGATAATTCATTATTATAAATTTAATTTAAAAAAATCACCAGATTTATTTAATTTTAGACTTAAAAACAGAATTGAATATAAGTCGTAAATGTGAAAAAAAAAAAAAATTGTTCAAAAGCTTAGGAATAGTTATTACAAAATAACACATTAAATATACATAATCACACAACTGATTGTGTTTTATATTTTCACAACAATAAAATAGAAAAATAAATTGTTGTATAAGTATGTTAAGAGTTTATAGATTCATTTTTAAAATGTATCATTAAAATTTATGAAAATCAAAAACATTATCCATGTTTAATAATGTTACTATTAACGCCGATTTATACGCTTATAATATTTATCATTATTAATTTGTATCTGGAGTGGAGACACAGAACGAGCATTATAACGGTGACTATGTTTTCTATGAGGCCCAAGTCTACTCTTAACGTTTCTCTTTTCATACACATCTTCATCACTCGTGTAATCGCCATCATCTTCATGTAAATACTGGCGGCGTGGAATATCTCGACGAGTTGCACGGCTAAATGGAATATCAGTGTATTCCTCGTCATTAACATCTTCAATATCTACTTCAAGCGACTCATCATCAAGATACTGATGCGCTTTAGCAGCGCGAATTGCTTTTGCTACTTTAGCAGAAACCAAACGTCCGTTGAGACGTTCTCGCAAGTCGTTGGCTATATTTACTTGATGTCTAATAAAAAGGAATAAAATTTAAATGAAAAGATTTTACTTTCATACATTTTTTCTAGTTATTCAAACCTTGAATTTGAACTTGAATTCAGACGCTTCCTTGTAGTAGCTTGTGTCTCATCGTCTGCATACATACGCATTCTTGGTATTTTGCTCTCTCTATACCTAGCATCATTATAATCATCGTCGTCATCTTCACTAGCTGCACCTGATGATGATGTGGGTGGTGGTGGTGATGGAGTGCGTACTTTGGATTTGTCTACAATAATTAACCACACACATACCAATTATGTAAGTATACAATAAAATGTTATAAGACATTACATCAGTAATAATTGGTTACTCTGAAAGTAGCTGATTATTTTATTTAAATGTTATATCAAATGTTTTATTATTATTCTTAGATATATTTTAATTTTAATTTTTAGCAAATATTATGTTTATTTATAAGTTGTTCATACTCAAATAATAAAAAAAAAAAATATTCTAAAAGCCACTGACGATTTTTTTCTTCAAATAAAATCATTAGTGTTAATATTCACTTTATCAATTTTAAAATGTTGACAATCCATCCCAACAGAAACTCCATTTAGGTAATAAAACATTTTGTTAATTTAAAATTGTGATGAGTGCTTATTATTATTTTACATACTAAAAATATAGGTAATAAGACTGTTTACACAGGATACTCTCATATTTAGTATTATTTTAACTGAATAATACAATTATGCCACCCATTCGTGAGCTAACAATGCCGAATTATGCTTGACCGCAGCACACATTAGCAACTGCAGTCAACCACCGTGTCACACTATATTATAATTATTTATCATATTTTATCTGGATTTAAAAATAATTAAAATATATTTGTAGGATACTTAGAGGAGAATTCACAAAAAAAACCAAAATTGCATGAAAAATCAGACATAAAAGTATAAACTGTTTCCTAAGAGTTAAACTGATTAAAGCAAAAGTGACTATGTGGTTCACCTTTAACACTACCACAAGAAAAACAAAGAACATACATTTAGCATTATCCATAGCATTGTCATATTGGCTCCAAGTTTTGGCTATTGCAGTCCAAGTATTGATTCCTGGATTTTTGGCCAACTTCCACCGAACGTCGTCTTTCAACATTTCATCTCCGATATCGGGATGATTGATGACAGGTATAAACTTACGTTTACGACTTTCTTGGGAAAATAATTCATAATCTAGAAAAAAAAAATTAAATTGCATAAGCTTATTTGTATACTCATGTGTATTAAATAATTTAAAATATTTATATTAGCGAGACCTCCGTCTTCTACATCAGCACTTTTATTCTTTACATCTTGTTTGTCATACACGGTACTGTATCTCATCAATATGCACTTGGATTTTTCATGTGGCTTAATTGCTTTTCGCCACATACCTGGGGGCAACTTGTAACCCACACAGCTGACATAATCTTCTGATACTAATACCTACAATCATATAGCACGTGACAAAATAACAAATACAATTTTTTAAATATGAATTTGCTCCTACGTCATCTTGATCCATGTGGTCATCGTTTTGATTTTCATTTAAAGCTCCATGTTCATTGTTTAATTCATCATTAACTGCAGACGTAATATGTCTTAGCTCACGTATCGGTCGAGTTAAATCCAATAACGCCTTAGTGGGCATTCGATCATCCAGCCATACAACATTACCTAAAAATACCAACAAAAAAAATGTGATGGAAGATAAAACATGCATATAAATGTTTAAGGTAGGTACTCGACAAACAATCTACTAACATTCAGAATTTGATACCCATTCCAAAAATTTAGGATCGTATTTATCAAAATAATCGATTATATCTTTAGTGGTCATTCCCATGACTCCGTGCAAATGTAAAGCATTCAGCTGAATGTCTTTGTTGTTTTTGTTCATGCCAAGACTGGAAAGCAAAACACACTTTGACTTACTTAACTCTACAAAATCTACCATAACATACCTGTTTAGAATATACTGGACTTGTTTGTCTGTGATGTCTGATGTGGGCTGCTGATCCGAATTGGACGCCGATTGGAACGTATTTCTGTTCAACTGATAGGGAACACATCAGGATCAGTATGCAATTATGTATGAGGTAAACATAAAACGAGGCACATACTTTGGGTCTGTTGAGCTGTGCCATCGGCTGGCTGGTCCGCGCCGACGTGCTGTTGTCGACTGGTTGATCGTCGTCGCTGTCCAATAGTTCGCCGGGTTCCAGAAAACCCTCCGACAGGATGTCATCGGTATCACTGTCCGCCATCGTAATCGTCGAATAAAGTGAGAGCTCCTGTTCCCGACGTTCCAGCTACTGCTGCTCCTCCTCAAAATGACAACTACGTACTCGGTTCAACGCATTTTCGAAGACGTCAGACGGACACGACGAGCTGATCGCACTACGGTAAGCTTCTCAGTTCTCGCACTCTCACTCGGACAGCGACTAACGACAGAGCCGTTATCAAATAATAATTGAGAAAAAATAGTCATTCGCTACGGTCGGAATTTGAGCACCGCGAATCGTGATAATACAGATTACCGATAGAGAATAGATACTACTCGTCTTGTAAAATATCTACGTATATAGGACGTATATTGCGCATTATTTCGTTTGGGCTTCTAAAAAAAAATGCGTCTAACTCTTAAGTCGTACCGTTGTCACTTGCGACTTGCTGCCAAATACAACCGTAACCGTGTATTATGACCGTCGTGACTACGACGACCGCATGATAAAACAATTTAATTGTTTTATCATGGACGGCCAAACGACTTAATACGGCGAAGGGTACGGTACGACCATAGAACAATACGACCATAATATGACGCCCAACTCCCGTCGAAAAGTACCTACTACTTTTAGACATGTTATTCGGAATAGATTTTTTTGCGATCGCTTTTTCGGTCGGAATTAATTTGTACATATTATTCAGTATTATTTCATTATTATTATATTCGTAAATCGTCATAGACTAGAACGATATTAATCGCAGAAATTCCGTGAATTTCTGCCCGTCGTGTTGGTAGTAATTCGGAATTTCGTCGTCAGTGGCCGCGCGCTTGATTTTGATTACTGAAAACAGACAATGATACCACCGCACGAACGTCACTTTGTCACTCTTCACATAGTAACACATGTAACACAGATATACAATATCTAAATATATCGTATTAGATATTATATACTACAGTATTATAGTTCATGATTATAGTAAATCGTAAATGGAAATCTGAAATCGAGCTTTTCACTAGCGAGTTTCGTTATTGGTTACCTCTGTTACCGGTTACAGGACGTTTTACCTTTTATTAACAAAATAAAGAAAATTGGTGATTACAAAAACGTCACTGCAATAAAACTCCAAGTACCAGTCATGTCCACAGTCCACGATAGTATCTTAAATCGTGGTCGTCTAACAAAAACTGAAAAACCAAAACACGATTTGTGTGTTACCGTTGAACCGTTCTAACAGATAATACTAACAAGGAGATGAATAATAATTTTTTTATTAATCGCAGGTAGGTAGTCTTCCCAACCTCTTAATTCTTATTGATTTGTATACCGCAAATAGTAAAAAAATACGTTTAAACTGTATACAACTATTTATTTTCAGAGCCCAGACGCCAATAATAATCGGAGTTTACCCCGAACATACAAACAAACGCCATCATTTTATATATTAGTATAGATTAGGTACCTATCAAAAATAATAATTATGGTAAGATATAATATAATTGCAAAATATTTAAATTTTACATGCTTTTCTTTAACTAGCTAACTTTGAGCCTAGGAGGCTCAAATTTTGTATGGAGGTCTAGGGTTGGTGACAATACATGACCCCGTTGTCAATTCGGGGCTAACTCAAAATGTGGGGGGGGGCTTTGGTTCCCTAATTGTGGAAATTCATCTGGGGCCTTAAAAACTGAAATCCCCTCGGTCCGGGGCCGGGTCTCTAAGTGAAATACCTACCCACTAAGTTATACTTGGTCAAAAAAAAAAGTGAAGTGGGGGGGAGTGTCGCTTCTATATTATTCTATAGTCTATTCAAATTGAATTTCAAAACAGTGAAAAACGGACCTCGAACGGTTGATGTAGTGGGGGCTAAAATAGGTGGAGCCTGACACAGAACAGTATTATTATAGATAGGTATTTCAATATTTAATCATTTTATACTAGTTCGTGAAGCAAGAAGGAAGCTCTTCAAGAATTTCTACGGTGAGTTGTTGTCTGTTGACTATTATAATTATATTAATTCTTTAAACATGAGAAATAAAGAGACTAAAAAAAACATAAAAAAATTATGCTTTCAAAAAATCCTTTTTTTCTAATTTATTGTTATCACTAAAAAGTAGAAAATAAAAATAAATTTTTTTAAAAACATGCTTTTCTTATAATTCTACTTAATACATGAACTAAAAAAATGAAAATAAACTTACTTTTAAAACAATTTCTTAATGAAACTTCAAGGTTATCAAGATATTACTAAAAGTGTATCTAAAATGTATTTGTTTCAAAATTTTTAAAACTTGTGAATTACAAAAAACGAAAAGCATGGGGCTCCTATGAGTAAAGAATATCTCTTACAAAATTGGAAGTATGATCAATAATCTTTAAAATACTTATCATTAAGTTTATCTAATGATTCAGTTGTAGAGTGACTTTAAATAGGAGTTATCATAAGTGCCCCATGCTTTTCGTTTTTTTTTAATTCACAAGTTTTAAAAATGTTGCAACAAATACATTTTAGATACACTTTTAGTAATATCTTGATAACCTTGAAGTTTCATTAAGAAATGGTTTTAAAAGTAAGTTTATTATATATAGGGTATAATAATTACACTAAAATAAGTGTAAAAGTGTAAAATTTAAATAAACTAATAAAATATATGAGGTACGTATAATGTATATAAAATATAATGGTTAATAATATTATATTGTTTTAAATACTTTAAGCAAACCTAAAATGGTTTATGGAGTATAATATAGTATACAACTATAATAATGTAAAAATAAGATATAGGTAGGTACCTACGTATTAAGATTAAGACATCTTGGCGTGGTGAAACGAAAACGGCCTTAGGACTGTTCGGGCTCGCGTATATAATAATATACCTACATTGCGATTTTGGGAGTAAACGTTTATGCTTCTACGCCACCAAGTTAACAGATTGTCTGTGGCAATAAATATTTATTTTAAGTCTAAAAAGTAAACGTAAATCCCAAAATAATATGAAAATAAACTTACGCTTAAACATCGACTCTTCTGGTGAAACCTAGCTGGAGTGCATCAAGAATGCAAACGTGCAGTAGGTACGTGACGCCACCGAAGAAACAGCTATCTTCATCCGTCTTCATCTCGTTCCAAACTGTAACTTGAAATTATCGAAATATTTTATTAAAATTACCTAAACATAACGAAATGTGCGAAATCGTGTTATAACTTACATTATAATATATATGGCTTAATGAACTATCTGTCTATATTGATGGCTTATTATTTTTTTTTTTTCACTAAAATTATTAGAATTGTTAAATATAAAAATATAAAGATAAATAACTGAAATAGAAAGCAAGAATACATTGCAGACCACATTTGAAAGTGTCATCGTGTATATAAATTATAATAATATACTATAAAAGACTCATAAATCCACGAATACCTACTATTTTTAAATTACAAAAAAATAACTAAAATGGTTATTCTTTGTTTTAATAAGTTATTTCGTCCAAATTACAACTTATAATGTCTGCAAAAATTAGCTCTGTTTTTAATAGATTATTTAGATTTTTTGGTTTCAGTATGAACTATTCATGAGAATTCTTGTTTTAAATTTTCAATCCTTAGCAATAAAATTTGAACATTTTATAAATTTTTAACTACAAAAGAGTAATTTGTAAATTATCAATTTGAAAAATTATGTTAAAAATTGAACTTTAATTACTTAACAAAAAAAAATGTGCCTATGGATCTTTTTTGTTTCTTAACTGCTATTATAACTACTTATGAGGAAACTTTTATTACATTTTCATATTATAGGTAAACAAATACATTTTTATACGAATATTTGACCACAAAATATTTATAAAATTGTCAAGATTTTGATAAATTTTGTACAAGTTTGAACTTTAAATGCCTATAAAAAAAACGTGCCTATGTATTTCTAATATTTTTTAACTGCTATTATATCAACTTACGATGAAATTTGTAATAGTTTGTATTATTTTTAAGCCTTTTGAACCAACGAATAAAATTTTATTGGCATTTATAGAATACAGAACTAAAAACATTTCATAATTCAAATGTCTACAAATCACTGAAATATTTTGAACATTTTATAATGTATATGATAGTTTAAACATTTGATGGACATTTTAAATACCGACGGTTAATAGTTGTTGAATAACAACAAAATAAGAAAATCGTTTACGAGAATCATAATATACATATCATTGTAAAATCAAAACAACTAATGATTTCCGTGAATTAATTTTTGCATCATACATTTTATAACTGGTTGTAAATCATAGGTTTCCGAAAAAAAAAAATTGAAAAATTAGCGTGGGCGCTAAACTATATGGATTATAGTACTAAATTTAAAAAATATATTATTGATTTTAAGAAATTGTCTTCAAATTATCACTTTTAATTATTTTATATAGGTAGTGAATAGTGAAATTATTGGTAGATTAAGTTTCTATTTTATAATAGATCAATAGCCAATAGGTTAAAATTAGGATATAATTTATCAATAGGTCGTATTATAGGTACTGAGTACAATATTTAAGTTCTACGAATTTATCATAGTTTTTTTTTTTTTTTACGAGTCGGGGTTATGACAGGTCATTTTACAGGTAATTAAATATATAGGTAAACATCCTTACATTTAAACTATAAATAACAAAACATAATATCAATTAGTCAATTAGTCAAAAAATCAACTGGTATACATAAAATAAAATAAAATAACATAATATGGAATAATGTACTTAGTAAATAATGGTAATTATATTAATGGTAACAATGGGTGGTTCTAAAAGGTAACGTATGAGTTGTTTTTTCAAATTTTTAAATTTTATCGCTCCAAAATTCTGCCAACTTTATAGCCTTGCTATTTGCGTCTTGTAAGTCTGTTACGTTACATTTGATTGGGCATTCATTGCAGTTTAGGAGGTGCGACATTGTCTGGACTTCTCTGCATATACAGCTCATGTCTTCATTCCCGTTGCTTATTCCCCATTTTTTTAGGTTCTCCCTCGAACGACCGACTCCT